CATTTCTTCTAGGTTGTTGCATTTGGTGGCATATAGTCTTTCATAGTATTCTAGTGTGATCCTTTGTATGTCTGTGATGTCTGTGGTGAATTCTCTTTCATTTCTGATTTTGTTTATGTGCATCTTTTCTTTTTCCTTAGTGAGTCTGGCCAGGGATTTGTCAATTTTGTTAATCTTTTCAAAGAACCAGCTCTTTGTTGCATTATTTTTTTTGTCTAGTCTTTTTGTTTCCTATTCATTCAATTCTGCTCTATTTTTTATTATTTCCTTAAATCTCAAGTAATGAACCTAACATTACATGTTAAAGAACTAGGAAAAAAGAACAAAAGAAACTCACGTTGTTGTATTTTAACCAACCTTGGAACAAATTCTTCAGAGTGGTTATCATCATTAGATATTTTCATGCAATTATAGCTCATTATACCATTTTCTAAATTAATCAAAGAGTAATTTTAATCTTATCTACTGTTCTTCTCACTTGGATCCTTTTGGAAGTCACTGTTACCCTGAGGTGAAAACAAATACTGGCCAAATTATTTTTTATTTTCAAGCTCATTTTTAGAAATAATGAGTCTTATTTCTATTTGAACCATTGAGACCAGCACTGTGTGTGATGGGAGGTGAGGGTGGGCATGGGTATAGGACAGTGGACACCATTCACGTCCAGAGCAAAGAGCTCACACTCTGGTAATAAAACTATATCAGCAAGGTAAGAAGGGAAATAAAAGCAATAAATATTAAACCAAAGCATTCATTTCTAATCCACCAGGCAACAGGGAATTATTGCAGTTTTTTATGCAAGAGTCAGACATAGTAGAAATGGAAGCAACAATGAAGGCAAACTGTAATAGCAGGATTTGGACTGTGCTATCTTAGCATTGACAACACACACAGAAGGCATTGACCAGCATATTCTACATTTTAGGGAATGTACCTCCCAGAGAAAAGGTAGTAAATGAGAAGAGAAGGCTGTTAAACAGCCTCCTTGGTTATGAGAACAGTTGATCACTAAGTAGCCTAAGAGAAGGGATTGTACTAGAAGAATGTTGGAGGCTCACAGGATCAGTGTGAAGCTGGAGGAACAGGTGGGAGCCAAGGGCGCTCAGAGGTTGGTGCAGTAACTAAGCTGTGGTCTGTTGTTGCTCATGACCTGGTGAGCACTGGACCACATACCTCCAACCTCCTATCAGTCTTCACTGGCTTTTACAACACTGGGAGGATCTGGCCCTGTTTCTGCCTGTCTTCCCCAGGAGCGGCTCCTACCTCACCTGCCCACATGGAGCAGAGTTCATGTACCAGAAAAAATTGTGTTGCTATTAGGAAATGCAGGTAGATGGACAGTCAAAATGTGAGAAACAGCCATTCCAGGCAGGCTCTGAGAAACACAACTCTGATTTAAAACCAGAGGATGCCAGAAGGAAAAATGGAAAGGACAGTCCTACACAGGAAATTCTATGATTATCTCAGTTTATTTTTATTATTATTTTTTAATCCTCACCTGAGGATATGTGTTTACTGATTTTTAGAGAGAGGAAGGGGGCAAAGAGAGAGGGACGGGGGAGAGAGAAGGAGAGGAGAGAGGGAGGGGGGGAGAAACACTGATTGGTTGCCTCCCATAAGCACCCTGACCGGGGATGGAACCCGCAGCTATTTGGTGTATGGGACAACACTCAACCAGCTGAGCCACCCAGCCAGGGCTATCCCAGTTTAAAGTTGCCATTTATGGGAAGAAATGTTACAAAAGACATATTCTTGCAAAATACCTTAGACTATGGGAAGGCTAAAGTGTAGAAGGAGCCCACTGAAGAGCCACCAGAAATAGGAGCTAAAAATGAAGGCAGGTCAGTGGTTGACATTTAATAAAGGGCAGAAACAACCAAAGTCTTCAATACCTATTTTGCTTCAGGCTTCTAGACCTTGAAAAATGATCTCTGAATAAAAAGGGCAAAGCAAAGATGGCTAGAATGGAAATAAAGATCAAGATAAATGAGTAGGTAGCAAAAAGCATCTACCTATATTTTAAAAGAACTCAAATCTTCAGTGTAAATTACATGCCAAGACATCGATGAAATTTGGAGATGTGATCAAGAAAACACTGTTAGCAATTTTTTAGCAAGTTGCCTGTAGAAACATCAGAAGGAATGAGCTGGGCAAATACTGTCTGGATTCATAAAAAGGGTAAGATGACAGACGCTAGAACTAGAGCTTGGTGCAAAACCCAGCTGACTATTAAATTGGTGACTTGTGAGCACGTAGATGAGAGAGCTGCCACAGGGCGTGGTGCACTAAGACAGGGGAGGGTGAGATAATGGAAGGAACTGGAATCCATGCAGGGGCCCATGTCCTCATTCGGTCAGCACACAGCTGTGTGAACCTGAGCAAGTCACTTAACTCCTCTGAGCTGCAGTATCGTCATCTGGGAAATAAGGTCATAGAACTAGATGTCCTTTAATGGGCAGGTGAGCCACAATCTATCAGCTTCCAATGTACCAAATTTACCTCAATCCTTTTAATCTGGCTGCCTGATGATAAAAAAGCTGCTGTTTATTACAAAACATGTCCTGTACTGGGTGCTTATGTCACTGTATGAAGTACTTGAGTTGTACCCACAGGACAGGTGGATATTATTGATCCCTTTTCACAAAGGATGACTTTGAGACTCAGAGCATCTAACAAAGCGACCAGATGAATCATATTACCATAAAATCAGGTGCTCGAGGTCATGCTGTTATTATGGGCAAGAAGGATGGCACTACAGTAAGATGGTACTACAGTAATAACTCATTTCTTTGGGCTAGTTATGCCGAAGGTGTACTNGGTATCAGGAAATCAGGTGCTCGAGGTCATGCTGTTATTATGGGCAAGAAGGATGGCACTACAGTAAGATGGTACTACAGTAATAACTCATTTCTTTGGGCTAGTTATGCCGAAGGTGTACTGATAGTGGATCCATGTCTATTTCATGGAAATTTTCTTCTGCTGTTCATTTAACCTCGGCCTGTCCAACTTTTTTTTTTAAACACACAATTTGGTTGAAAGAATAGAAGAAATTCTTGTCAATATTTCAAAGAAAGAATGATCCAGATAAAGGATATATTCACATGTTCATTTATGCAAGTATTGCGCACAAAGCAAGATTGGAAGTAAGCTAGTTTATTCATGCTATGATCAGTACTCAAACAGCAAAATATATTAGTATTGAAAGTAAATTCCTACACTTCACATCTAAACCATCTTGCTGGACAAGAAAGGGCCTTAACTCTGAACGGCGTGAGGATTTGGGGAACTGGAACCAAGGTTGGGGGATGACTGGCTCGTGGGTCACCATTTGGAGCTTCCCAGAAGGACTGGAACGGGAGGACCTCGAACAATGTCTAAATACATTTTCCCTTAGTCACAGGAATCTCAGATTAACAGAAATTGTCTATTATGTAGACCCAGTTCATTTCAAGTTGATTTCAAGTTCAACGGAAACCAACCATTTGAAAATTCTAGCACAAAAGGCAGTGTAAATTTCAGTGACAGTCACAGAAGAGGGTGCTTACACCCAGGGGGACAGGCGAGTCCTACAGTTTCTGCCTTGGCCAGCCCACACCTTGAGCTCGGGGTCCCCTCTGGGCCACTGAGGAACAGCCGGGGCAGCTGGGAAACACTCGGCAATGACAGAAAAGCGTCCTTCAAATACATGAAGAGCTGCTGTTTGGAAAAGCTGCGGGTGAATTCTGAACTCTCTGAAAGCAAAAGTAGAAGTGGCAGAATCACTGAGAAGTGCTTTCCCCATGAGAGCCTCTCTGGAGGGGAACGCAGGCGCCCCAGTGGGCGCGAGCCTCCCAGGCGGGCACCGCGCAGCACGTCTGCTGAGAGCCTCCCGTGCACACTGAGTGCCTGGGACACACCAGTGGAGGAAACAGGCAACAATCTTTGCTCTTGGAGTGTGTACATTCTAGGGTGTGGGGGACTGTCAGTAAACAATAAAGCAAACACGGCAGTCAATTAGAGGGTATGCTGGCAGGTGAAAGAATTGGGGGTAAGAGTAGGATGAAAGGAGGGGCAAAGGGACAGGTGGCAGTTACATATATGGGTGTCAAGCAGGTCAGCTGGACTGAGAAGCTGACATCTGAGCAAAGACTTCAGGGCAGGATTGAGGGGGTTACTTGGGGAAGATCAATCCAAGCAGAAGGAAAAGCCAGATGTGTGCCAGCAAGAAGCCTGCCCTGCAGAGCTTGGCAGGGCATTTGTGTGAGGTGAGGAAAGGACTTCCGCGGGCGGACAGCTTGGACGACGGGACTTCTGAGATCATCACTCTGACTGTTCAGGGCAATTAATTTGGTAGCAATGAACAAGAGGTATTCACAAGCGGAGATGTCAGGCCAGGCCTCACACACACAGACTGTGGAGACGCCAGACACATAAAATGTTGCAGTGAATTCAAGTATTTAAAAAAAATATTACATCAACCATGTCTGCAGACCAAACTCTGCCCAGGGGTCACCGGCTTGAGACCTTTGCATCAGAGGAAGTGAAATCAGTTGAGGGGGAAACGGTGTCATCCAGACAGGAAGTCTTGGTCAGGAAGTCAAAGGAGAGAAGAGAGAAGAAATGTGGGCGTCTTTGAGAATTACTCCTTCATTGGGATTTGAGAGGGAACCAAAAGGGAAGAAAGGACCAAAGACTATGCTGTGTGTGGAACCCAGGAGACCACTCACCCTTATGCTCTTTCTGAAGCAAAGGTCACAGCAATTTTTCCTGCCTATTTTCCAAGGCCAGAGACTAGCTGGCCCTGCCATTGCTCTATCACACAACTGCATTCAGCTTAGGAGCTCAGAGTCCAATTAGGGAGAGACAATACCCGCGAATGCGACCTTTCTCGGTTGTGTCAGGCCCATCGTGTAACTGTACACATAAAACTGTTGAACGGAGGCTCAGAATTAATGAATCGTGTTACAAAGAGACAGACACAACTTTTCTCCTCTTTCATGTTTCACTGTCTCCTGCTGCAGGTGCATTTGTCTGCAAGATGGTGCCATTCGCCCAGTCCACAGCTGTGGTGACTGAGATCCTTACCATGACCTGCATCGCCGTGGAGCGGCACCATGGGCTCGTGCACCCCTTCCGCATGAAGTGGGGGTACACCAACCGCAGGGCATTCACCATGCTAGGTGAGGGAGGGCAGGGCCCCCCGACGCCTGCAAGCCCATGTGTAGCCTGGAGGATATTGATCCCTGGGCTCCAGTCCTCTCCCCGCCTACCCCACCCTCACCCATTGCTCCTCTGGGCCTACCCAGCAAGGCCCTCTCTCATTTCAGATGTACTCCTTCAGTTTAGGGCTCAACCCTCCCAGCCGATTTGCGGCTGACCTAAGCTGCCCATCAGTGGTGTGGCCGCAGGAACAGTCATTAGATTAGGAAGTTGCCATCCTGATGTAAGAGGTCACTAAGATGCCCTTCTTAGGGCAGGTTGATTTTCACGGGGGGCAGGAGAGGTGGTTTTAGATAAGCAGAGAACGGGTGCTGCCCTGGATGCAGTGGAGTCCATGGGGACACTGGGTGCTGGCAACACCTGACAAAGATTCAGCCACTTCACAGTTTGCTTCCTGTGTCAGCAAGGCTGGTGAACAGGGACCTCGTGAGAAATGTCCTAGAGGAAACAACTCTGTTTGATAATTATCACTGAGCCATTTATAAGCCTTAATGCCCCTCGCAGTGGTTGTAGTGTATTCCGGTGAAATAGCTAGAGCTTGTGGAGAGCAGCTAAAGCAGTCATCAAAGAGAGCAATTTTCACTAACTCCTCGCTTGAGAGCAGGGAGCAGAACTTTCTGGGCCAGGAGAGCTCAGCCAGCATGGGATCGCAGGGCAGAAAGGCTCCCGGAGCCCTGTGATGCACGCTCGTCCTAAGCAGTTTGAAATGAACAGACAAACCAGTAGGGACAAAATTGTTAGTTTTACTTAGTTCCAAATTTATGTTGCATCCTTCCCACAAAGAACTCAAAGACCTCTTGGCTTTTAATAATTGAAAACTTGCCACCATCAGAGCACTTAAAAACAACGGGTAGGTGTGGACAGAGGGTGAGGTACTTGGTGGAAGGGAGTTATTAAAAAAAGAAAGAGGCATAGAGGGAGGCTCAACCCCTGAAAGGAAAGTTGATAATAGGCAGCCAGGAAGTTCCTTCTCGAAAAAGCCACAGGACTCCTCTCCCAGGGGGCTTCTGTGACACTCTGACACAGCATGTCTGTCTTGCCACCTCCAGCCACCAATGTGTGCCCCTGTGCCACAGCCGGGCAGATGCGAGACTTGCCAGCTCAGCCCTGCTCACAGATCGGAGCAGAACTGTTCACCCAGCCCTAGGTCTCTATCCTAAGCACGACCTAGACCCGGGATTGGCACGGAGCTAAGCCAATTAGACTCAACTCTGCCCCAAATCCCACTAAAGGCTGGAAAAATGACTGGACACAAGGTTACATAATATGAGTAGTGGTGTAGAATGGATGTGTATGGTCATGTGCAGAGAGAGACAGAGAGACAGAGACAGACAGACAGACACAGAGAGACAGAGAGAGACACACAGAGAGAGAGACCAACACAGAGACAGAGACACAGAGACAGACCAACATAGAGACCAACACACACAGACACACAGAGAGACACAGAGAGATAGACAGACACAGAGACAGACACAGAGCGACAGACACACAGAGAGAGACAGACACAGAGACGTTTGTGAGCAGGGCTGTCTTGAATCATAAAGTCTCTCTATACTCAGCATGTCAGGTGATGAGTGTCTTTATAATAAANTAGACAGACACAGAGACAGACACAGAGCGACAGACACAGAGAGAGAGACAGGCACAGAGACATTTGTGAGCAGGGCTGTCTTGAATCACAAAGTCTCTCTATACTCAGCATGTCAGGTGATGAGTGTCTTTATAATAAACCCCATTGTGGGTTAGGGGAGTCTCAGTTCCTTGAAACCCAAGACAATACAGTACATGGTTTTCCTAATGGTCCTACTCAATATAGAAAGAACAAGCAGAGTTTGAGCTGGGAATTTTTCCTCAAAATTGATGTCGGGGCTCTTGGTTCCCGCTCTGTCCTAGACTGTTGCAATTCTCTTTTGCTCCTTGCTAAGGACACATCATTAAAGCTATTCTCTCAACAGACTCTCTGGTTTCCGATGTTGTGTTTGTTGTATAAATAAGAATGCCCACATTAGGATGATGAAAGTAAATGTACTTTGAATTCTAAGAAGAAATTTTAGAGGGTGACCTGTATCACGTTTAAGTTTTTCATTCATTCAACAAAAGCATTTTTGCTGATCAAGCACCTATGGAGGGAACTTTCCTGGGAAAATCCAGGTGGCCAGTTCTACCTGGAAAGGGTGGTGGCCTTCAAAGCTTTGCTAAGAGTATATAACTTTGAGTCAAGTCCTGGAAAAGGAGCGCACAGGTAGACAGGGGATAGGGCGCCAATCCATGGTGACAGCATGGAGGCAAGGAGGAGCACAATGCCTTCTGGAGTGTGGGGACTGAAACCAACTTTGTGAAGTCTCAGTAGAGGACTCAGGGGCGAAGAACATGAACTGAAATATAAGAGGAAAGAGGGAGGCAAGTGATATTGCGGAGAACCTTGGGGGCTGTGCTGGGGAGTTGGGTTTTGTCTTAGAGGCAATGGAACACTAATAAAGACTTTTAAAATATAAGACATGCTTTAGGAAGACTCTTCCAGTAGCAATTCTGAGGGTAGCAAGAGAGTGGAGGTGACAAGTGAGGAGACCAATGCACGGCTCCAGGGTGGAGGTGATGAGGTGCACTGGGTCTAGGGAGTCTTTATGGTTAGAGAATTAAGCAGGATGCATTTTGCTTAGCTGAGTCGTATTCTGATGGTTGTAACATTCTTACAGGTGTCGTCTGGCTGGTGGCCATCATCGTTGGATACCCCATGTGGCATGTGCAGCGACTTGAGGTAGGTCCAGGGCTGGGATCGTTAATTATACTATGCAAATATTCTCCCACCCTCTTGATTACAGTCATTTTCCTTCATGCAAGAGATTTACAGCGAATTTGCATATCTCAATTATTGCACTGGAGGTTTTTCAAGTGGACTCAATGTTTTAAGATTTTTCCTCCCATTTTATCTAGCTCTTCCTTGATCTTATATCGGTAAGACTTACCAGGGTCACTTTCTCCATTTTCCCGTCAGCTGAACATGGCTTTCCTAGTGTCCTGCGGTGTCTAGTTATGTTGCGAGAGTCCAGTGGTCACTCCCAATATATACATTTTTTATTTTGAAGTCATATAAGAAATTTGTAATCATCTACTTACTAGTTGATTCTCTGTCATAAGTCCTTTCTGACCTGCCTCCGATTCAGTAACAGATTGTAGTTTGAATTAGAAACGTGAGGGGACCATCTCAGCCAGCCTCTCTCCTTCCCCCTCACTTTGTCAGCTGGGCCCAGCCCTGCCTGGGGAGCCACAGTGAGGGCAGCACCGTGCATTTCCAGTGAGTGGCCCGTCCATCTGGGGGATGTCTTGCACTGGGGGGGTGTCCATGCAGACAGTCATCTTCAAACACAGGCCAGGGTCCCACATGGCTCCCTGAGACAATTTTTAAACTGTGTATTCTTTTGTACCTTTTGAAATCAACACAGGCATGCTGTCCATCAGCAAGGATCTACTTAAAACGACATTTATTTATTTTTAAAAATTTCTTTAAAGTACAGTTGGTATTCAATCTAATATTGGTTTTATTAGTTTCAGGTGTACACTAGAGTGATTCGACATTTTTATACCCTGCAATGTGATCACCCCACTAATTCTAGTCATCATCTGTCACCATGCAAACTTATCCAATATTGTTGACTAGGTTCTCCTCCCTCTGTTCACCCATCCCCACCCCCTCCCTTCTGGAAACCCTCCCTTTGGTCTCTGTATCTATGAGTCTGTTTATGTTTTGCTTGTTTTTTGTTTTGTTTTTAGATTCTATCTGTAAGTGAAACCATACAGTACTTGTATGTCTTTGCCTAATATTATTTAACTTGGCAAAATACCCTCCAGATCCATCCATGCTATCACAAGTGGCAAGATTTAATTCTTTTTTATGGCTGAGTAGTATTCCATTGTACATATGCACCACATCTTCTTTATCCATTCATCTATCGATGGACACCTAGGTTGCTTACATATCTTGGCTGTTGTAAATAATGCTGCCATGAACATAGGGGTGCATATAAATAGTGTTCTCATTTCTTTTGAGTAAATACCCAGAAGTGAAATTTCTGGATCATATGGTAATTTTATTTTTAGTATCTTAAGGAACCTCCATCCTGCTTTCCACAGTGGCTACACCAATCTCCATTCCCACCAATAGTGCAGGGGACTCCCTTTTCTCCACATCCTTACCAGCACTTGTTGTTTGTTAACTTTCTGACAATAACCATTCTGGCAGGTGTGAGGTGATACCTCAATGTGGTTTTTATTTGCATCACTCTGATGATTAGTGATGTTGAGCATCTTTTCATATGTCTGTTGGCCATCTGTGTGTCTTCTTTGGAGAAATGTCTGTTTGTGTCCTCTGTCCATTTTTCAATCAGATTGTTAATTTTTTTGTTATTGAGTTGTATGAGTTTCTCTTATATTTTGTATATCAACCCCTTGTTGGATATATCATTTGTGAGTATCTTCTCCCAGTCACTAGGTTGTCTTTCCATTTTGTTGATGGCTTCCTTCACTGTGCAAAACTTTTTAGTTTGATGTAGTTTCATTTGATGTTTTATTTTGTTTCTCTTGCTTGAGGGGATGTGTCCAAAAAGATGTTACTCAGGTTGATGTTGGAGAGTTTAATTCCTATGTTTTCTTTTAGGAGTTTTATGGTTTCAGGCCTCACATTTAAATCTTTAACCCATTTTGAGTTGTTGTTTTTTGGTATATGGTGTAAGAGAAGGATCCAGTTTCATTTTTTGCATATATCTGGCCAGGAAAATGTGCATGATTTTTGATATAAGGGGTATACTGAATGAGCTGGACTCCACAGGCGAGGGCAGAAAGCAGTTTCATTCTTTCCTTGCTACTTATTAAAAATGCTATGGATGAAGCCTTGAGAAGGCCCTATAGCTCCTCCAGTCATTCAGATAACAAAATTCCTCTGGTCATGCTCAGCCACAAGAACAGTGTTAGTTTTGTTACTAAAATGTCTAGTCCAGTGTCACAGTCCCATCAGTCTGAATTCTCAGTGAATTTAAACCGTCTCCCTTCCGCCAGCGTGAGCCGTTTCAGGTCCAGAATCCAGCCCTATGGAGAGGGGATATGAGCCCCTTCTCTGCTTCCTCACCTGCTTCTCTTTCTCTCCCCACAGCCAACTGGCTGCCTCTGGCTCCCTGGGAGCTGGGGAGCAGAGTGGGGAAAGATGGGGCAGGTGTCCTCTGAGTGTGACTGTTGCTTGTGACTGAGTCTTTACTTCATGGATGTTTCAAAGAGAACACCACTGAGGTTCCAGCTGCTGTTCCCTACTCTGGCTGGCTGCTCATGGAGCCCCGACACTCTGTGACCAGCTCCTACTCCGAGGCCTTTTCTCCAGAGGGAAACCCACAATGACGGGCCTTTTTAGAAATAGCCCAACCCCCTTCTCACTTGTGGGGTCCATTTCGTGCCCACAGAATTCAGGGAGATTTGTCCATTTTCTAAATAAAATTATTTTATCACATGCTCAATATATATAGCTCATTTAGTTTGTAGAAAATGCATATGATCTAATTGACAAAGACAGCCCTTGCTGTCGGACAGAGGAGCCAAATTGGATTTGCTTTCTCTCAGGATGAAGTATAAGTTCATTTTCAAAGCAAATAAATGTATTTATATGCATCCAAGGCCTCTTTCTCTTTCCTAAATTCAATTAGAGATGGTGCGTGCAAGTATGGCCAAGGCCTGGACTGCCCCACTTGGTGACACAGAGTACCACCGACCTCCCGTCTCCACCATGGCCTCTTTGCTTTGCTCTCGTGGGGCTCCCTCTCAGGACTGATTATCTGACAATTGTCGCGGTGGAAGCAATCAGGTGGTAAAATTAAAAGTCATTGCTTCTGCCCCTTCGTGTGAAAATGTGAAAGCACAACATCTCAGCACCTGTTGAAACCCCCTTTTCTAATGTCAAGCTTTACCCCGAACAGAAACAGATTTAATACGGGGAAAGCACACAGCTCTTCTATCGTGGATTGATGGGGCCTGATCATGGTGGCTCCCCTGACATCAGTAATGTGAACAGCGTTTTGGTGCTCCAGAGTGAGGTGTGGGGTGGGTGAGAGGACTTGTGCAGATTGGGAGAAGGGTGGCAATGAGAGAGGAAATAGGAGTATGGACCTGGCAGGACACGCCAGCCTGAGCCAGGCTCTAAGGAAGCGGGGTTTAGAGAAGTGTATATTTGGAAATAGAAGTCTGATACTGGTTTTCACAAAACCCTTGAGCGTGCTCTCGGAGAGCCTTTGCTGTCCCTGACAGCGCGCACCTGTTCGGGTCGGCCACCTTGTGCTTTGTTGGGACCCGTCAGTAAGCAGTCCCATGGCTGGCCCTGGTGGGGCTATCTGCAAGGAGTCAGATAGGTTTCATTTTAATGTCCTGTTCCCAAGGGAGTTTGGGTCTTGAAATTACGATTCACTGAGTGTTTTCATTCCTAGTTAGTTGTGTTTGTAAATAACACCTAGATCAGAACCTGAAGTTTATCTTTGGTGAGTATACAGAAAAGCTTTTCCTCATTCAATGGGCACTGAGGATTGGTGATAAAATTTGCTGGGAATGGAAGCAGAAATATGTCTAAGACCTAAACATTTTTCATCTGGAAAGGGCTAGAGTGGGTAAAATGACAATTGTTTGGATAAATTCTCTAACTTTTATTCCTATTTTCCAGATACATGACTTTCGAACATACATTAAATGTTTAGTTTATCTCTTTAGCATTTGCTATTTTTATTAATTTTGTTATTAGTAATACATTTGAACTCATGAATGTCAGAAATGGTATTAATAACAGATAATGGCTTTCTATAAAATACACCCCTCAAAGACTTAGAATTGAGTCTGAATATTTATAGATTAGCAATAGTTTGGATCCCAGTTTCTCATGCATCTCAGGATCTGAAAGCTATCAGTTGCCTTTCTAAAATCCATTTGAGCCACCTGATCCTTGCAATCTGAAATAGCACTGACAAAATCTGGAAGCTGGTTCTTAGCATCTGGGAGAAGTGCGATGCTGTGTCCAAATTTGTCTCAGCAACTGAGGAAGCGAAGACGTAACGTAAAACTAGCTGGCACGCAGTGCAGAGCATTATTTCTATCCACACTCTGGTCACTGAAGCAAGTGCTCTTGCACCCCACTGAAACCTTATGACTAGAGTAAAAAGTTGAGAAAAATTAAAAGTGAGCAGACTTTGGACCTCAATTTCATTTAAATTAGAAAAGAGAGTATAAAACTGAAGAATTTAAGCAGTGATGTGGGAAAAGACCCACACTTCAGAACAAAACAATCCAAATCGCATGTACCCATGGTAACCACGTAAGGGTATGGAACATGCTGCATGCCAATAATCCTTGTCTGCTTTCTGTACCATGACGCTTACCACTGGCTCTCCTAACACAATCGCTCTCATTTCAAAGATCAAGTATGACTTCTTATACGAAAAACACCACGTGTGCTGCTTGGAAGAGTGGGCCAGCCCTGTGCACCGGAAAGTGTACACCACCTTCATCCTTGTCACCCTCTTTCTCCTGCCTCTGCTGGTGATGCTCAGCCTATACAGCAAAATCGGCTATGAACTCTGGGTCAATAGGAGAGTGGGGGATAGCTCGGCGCTTCGAACCATCCATGGGAAAGAGGTGTCAAAAATAGGCAGGTCGGTTTAATGAAATTCTCATCTCAGTTCCAGATATTTTTCATTAGCTGTGCTGGACGGGACGGTTAGCAGGGACCTCAGAATCCCTGGGTGATTAGTCCGTGTCATTTGTCATGCACCTGTAGGGCATGAGCTGTCTTTACACTTTTGAGATTCTATGTGTGGCAGGAAGAAAGAGCAAGCTCACCAGCTCCCAAATCCACCGTTACAGACAGGAACTTTCTTGGAACTTAGACAGTGTTCTATTTTCATCAATATTTCAGTATGACACCCTCTCTGCCACTCACCAGCCCCAGGACGTGGGTAAGTCTCCTTCCTCTCGGCCCTGCCTTCCTCACGTGTCCCAGGAAGCACAAGTTCAGCCCTTTCTGCCTCCCACCCAAGCATAAAGCTGAAATACGTGAGATGATACTTAAGAAAATCCTTTGGAAACCAGAGCATGCTATTTACTTTAATTATTGATATATTTTCTTTTTACCTAAGCTTTATGATTGCATTCATTAGTAGGAAATTTAAAATGCAACTTACTGCTATGGTACTTGTAGTCTATATGGTTCATTTTATATTGTACACTGAATGGCCATTAAAAACAAAAATAAACAAAACCTGTTAAGAAGTCTAGTGGTTTGAGATGTTAGCATTTTTTTTTATGTGTGCAGCGCCCTCTAGTGCCCAGTTTTTATTAAGACATCCTCCCCCTAGGGGTACATTTTGGCACTTACTGCGGAATCAGCTCTCCCACCTCCTCCAAAGAAAGAGCTACCATGTGGAAATGAGAAATAATGACTATGACTTTTTATAAATGTAAAGCACTATGCAAATGTGTAGATTTCTTGCACGTGTTTATCTTCTCTACAGGAGTAATGAAGAAAAGTAGTTTGAAATCCTAATCATGTTATTTAGAGATATAATAAAGGTTTATATTTTAATTATATCCTTAGGGCTTCCCATAGTTCATAAACATTTATATTTTTCTATCATAGGGATGAGCAGTCTTCAATATAAAGTAAGAGCTTAGGCCCTGAAGTCAGACTGCCTAAGTTTACATCCAAATGAGCCCTTATTAGTTTAAATCCCTTACTTGCCTATCTGATTTTGCAGGTTACTTAGCCTTCTCTGTGCCTCAGTTTCTTCATGTGTCAAAAGCTTGTTGGGGAGATTAATGGCATAATCCATGCCAAGCAGCCAGCAGGCAGCTAGACCCCTCATGCGTACATATCACAAAGATGTTTATAATGTGAGAAATATTGGGGTGAGGGTGATAGCAATGGGAAAGATGATAAACAGCCCACATTTAACCAGTCGTGAACTTCATTAATATCAGTGAAATTATGGTTGAGAGGTCTAGGCTCAGACTGATTTAATAGCTTTGCTATCAATCTGACACCTCTGCCTGGGAGAGGTTGACCGATACAGTATCTCCTTTTGGGTCCAGGAAGAAGAAGCGGGCTGTCATCATGATGGTGACAGTGGTGGCCCTCTTCGCGTTGTGCTGGGCTCCTTTCCACATCGTGCACATGATGATGGAGTACAGTGAGTGCTTGTCATTCTCATTTGACAGAGTTCTATTTCATTTCCTGCTAGAATGGACAATGAATCATTAAAATTTGTTGCTATTCACGTGGGCAATCAAGTATTAAATATTTAATAGGTTTCTTTCATGTTTTCAAACCATTACATGGTAGGTAATTGTTTGACGATGACCAAATCTTTAAAAATTACACTAGATCAAGAAAAGCTTCCGAGATCCTCCCTCCATGCTATGCCTTCTGCTGTCCCTGAGTTACTTAAAAGTTGGGCGAGGTGGGCTAGCCTATGTGTTCCCTGTTTGGAACCCTGACTTGAGCCACACATGAATTCAATACCAAGTAGGGTTACCGCCCCTCCGTGAAGTCTCCGTAATAACCTTAGACTTCACATGCTCCTCAGATGACTGTGCTTCTGTAACACAGTGAGCATTTGAAGAGCAACTATTGTTCCCAATTTAATTGTAGCTTGGAATCCGGTTGAAGTGCAGCAGGCCCCCCATATCTGCTGGGCCCCGGGCTTCGCTTGTTAGCCTCAATGCTCTAACAGTGAAGGCCTATCACAGAAGTTGTTTTCCTGCAGACACCCATGGCTCCCCCCAAAATGGCCTTGAGAATTTTCCACACCTTTGATCACTTGTCCAAGTGTGTTGGGTTAAGACAGATGATATGCAGAAATTTTATTTTCGGGTCATTAAAACAAATACGCCTTTTTAAGTACGTCTTTTTATTTCAGGCAATTTTGAACAGGAATATGACGAGGTCACGATCAAGATGGTTTTTGCCACTGTGCAGATAATTGGGTTTGCCAACTCCATCTGCAACCCCATGGTCTATGCGTTTATGAATGAAAACTTCAAAAGCACCTTCTTATCCATCGTTTGTTACTGCACTGTGAGGGAGGCCCTCTCTCCGGCACGAAGACGTGGAAACTTGGTAATGGCCATGACGCAGAAGAGAGCCGTGTTTGGCCAGAGAGAGAACGCGGTGGAGGAGACCAAGGGAGAGGCTTTCAGCGACGGCAACATCGAAGTCAAGATGTGCAACCTGCCAGAGGAGAAGCAGCACCCCAAATGAGCTCCCCGATCTCGTCCTGAACTCCTGAGAATTCTGCTGTGGGCATTCATTTTCACAGTGTCTCCATGATTAATGTCATTCACATCTTAATCTGAAAGTTATTTTGCGCAAAGGTCAAAGACTTTTTTCCTTCATAGAATGAAGAAAAGGAGGAACCTTAAGTTCCTTTTTCATAGAAATTTGACATTATACATGAACACACAATTTTGAAAAATTAGTGACCCGTCCTTGTGGATCATAAAAGTGCATTTTAAAAGCTCTCGTATGCACTGGGCTAGTAGTTTTCCCCCACCCAGTCAATGCCGCGTGGCTGCTTCTGTGATGTTAAATTTATGAGAAAATAAGAATGGTACCTTCTCCTTGAGTGCGAGTTGACACTGTTCTGTAATTTTAGGGCACTGCTGAACGTGAAACTTGGTAACACCATCTTTTGCAGACTAGGTCTGTTCAATAATCATAATGTTGAAGAAGATGGAGAAGCATCAAAATGACAGATGAGATTTAGAGGCAGACACCTGGGTTTGAGCTTTTTATGGTCCCGCCAGACACCACTGCTGTGCCAGTGAGCATGTCCTTTACCCCCTAAGCCCTACTCCTTCCTGTGGGGATGGCTGCGGAACACGAGTGTGAGCAGGAGGGCGCTTTCACACCACAGGCCCGAGTTCTGAGCGCGGTCACAGAGCCCCTCACTCCCAGGCCTCCCCTCTCTTCCCTTCCCCTCCTGAGACTGGTCCTCAGCCCTGCCCAACTTTCCACTTATACCTATGTTGTAACTGATTCCTCCACTCGAAAGGAGAAAAATTCTCTCCTGAGTGCTATATATTTAGACCAATCTATCTCAAGTATTTATATTTTTAAGCCTTCACTCTCATCAGTGGGATGAAAGACTTCTTGCTACATGACAGGACTGTTAGTGCAGTTAGTAGATGAGAGCATCAACTCCAAGCCCATGGCATTCACCGTGCCCAAGACTGGCCCCCATGAGAGGGCTAGGGCAGACCAGTAGGGCTCCCCACTCGTGTGCCTCCCCTAAATCTCCCTTCAGCTCAACTCTTCAGTTCTTAGTCTCCTTCTCTTCCCTCCAAATGTCAGGGACCCAGGGCCTGCTGCTTCCCCTGCAATACCGGAGATTCCCGCAGCCACAGCCACAGCCACAGCCTATGCCTGATGCTTCCCCTGCTTCACTGTCCTGCATGGGCCCCTCCCGCAGGTGCCAGAGAGGAAGGGGAGCGCAAGGCCTCCCAGGGATTTCAGCTTGGTTCACTTGTACAGCCTCAAGGTGTGGGAACCAGAGAACGCAGGCCGTTGGCATCATCCAAAAAACAAACATTTTGTTTTATATGCATGTTAATGTAAGTGTGAATTAAAGAAAACAAAGATGAAACAATGTGTGGTGTCAGGAAAAAATGTCCACGTGACACAGGAAAATGAACAAAGTCAGAGGAGAGCTGATGATTCGGTGTGTGTTGAAACAGACTCATTATGGCTTATTTATTTATGTACGCTGTCCTCCCTCGATGCCTAGTTACCCTGTAGCCAAACAATGATTAACACTAACTCATTAAACCTTACAAATGAGTCGGACTCACTGATTTTGGTTACTCTCATTTAACTAGCAAATGTCTGTATGACTCTTCCTAAACTTAATGTACACGCACTCCAAATATAACTTGATATAAAACAAATGAATCAGCATTGTTAGTAACACTAACGATCAGGATGGTAGTCTTAACCATTGTGGAGCTTGACCTAAAACCTTGAGATATTATATAATAATTTGAGTGACTGCAAAACTTCTAGACAGTTTTCCAAAAGTGAGAACTTTTCTTTTTTTGCTCATAGCGCATTGATGCTGTTTCAGAAACAAACATAATTATAGCATATTTCTTTTCCATGAAACATAGCTCTGCTCTGTTAGAAAAGTCTGGAAGAGAAAGCTGGTCTAGTCCATTGCTGAGAAATTCCTACTACCAGCCAAAGAAGCGAGTCTTAAGATGGTGGACAAAGCTGGGAGGCCATCGGGAGTCCCCCTGCATTTGCAAAAGGAGCCCTGGTTATGGCCTTTCTTCCTCTTTCCTGGTGTCACAGTCCCTTCCCTCGAGTCCCTTGAACCCCTTGGTCTTGCACCTAGGGATCTGCTCTTTCCTCCGTTTTCCTCTCTCATTTTATTCCATCAGTTTTCCCTTATCTGGTGCTTGGAGTGAGAACTGAAAGGGTCTCTAGATCCAGGCGGTAGGGTAGATGTGAGGAAAGAAAACCACGTATTAGCATTTAGGTAAAATGACGACGAAATCAGTGAAAAGATGTGTATCAGTACTCAAACCCCTGAGCCCTTTATTTGGTGATGGATCATTTTGCCAAAAAAGAGCTCGGTGTCTTCTTTCCCGCTCTACCAAAGCACCCC